AATTCTGACTTTATAACTCGCAATTGTGAGTTTATATCACGCAATTCTGTGAAAAAAAGTCCGAATTGTGAGATAAAAAGTCGCAATAACCTTTTTTTATTTTTTATTCAGTGGCAGAAAAGGGCTTCCATACCATTGACTTCCATAGTATGATGGGAAAAAAACACTATGCGAGTCAATGAGGACCAAACGAATGTGAACCATCCCTTTAAGGCCATCTACTCGTTAATTATCATATAAGTAGAGGAGGTCAGGGCAAGTGGTAACATTGTTTTTGAAAGTCAATAAGAGCCTATTTCAGGAAGATTAAACAAAGAAACAATGAAACACACACACACAAAAATCACATTAGAAACTGAAATATCCCTTGTGACAACTAACCCCGATCTTCTCTATTTAATACATATTCTCTCTCAAAGCCACATTTGATAGAAACAGCAAAGACTTGGAAAACAGTGCATAATCTCCACATTTGTAAGGTGCAATACAAAAAAGTACATAATGATGCAGTATGATTTTAGTCCTCTGTTGGCCAAAAACAGAGAATGATGGGAGATTCACATGACATCTCTTCAAATATTGTCATGTTCTCAGCTCCAGGACAAACTCACAGCTGTTTATTTAGAGAATAACACACCGCTTCTTAACAGCCAGCAAATATACTCCACCAGTTTGATGTGCCGTATGCTGATTCAGTGTTTGCTGTCCACATGCCCCAATGTGAAACAGAGGTTGTTTATGAGGGCTGAATGCAGCTGGCATAACAAACAACAGTAGCATTGAGTTCACGACTCCAGCTCGGGATCCGTTAACAGTTTTACCTGGAGTACGAGTGGTTTACGTTAGTATTGACATTGAATGACAGCTGCTCATCCGGTGAGGGACGCCCTGTATTCCACCTGCATGCTGACATTTTAGCTCATAGGACAAACACCGGAGACTCTGGAGCTGCCTTCAATAGCTTCTGTTCTCAAATGATGTTGAAAAGAGCAAAAATATAAATCCATTTCCCACTTTTAAGAACCATATGAAAAAAATAAAGCATTAGCAAAATGTGTACTTTAATAAAATTAACAATTTGTGATTTAGATGTTGCATGCATTGCATACTGTATATTGCTCTTAGTCTCTCTTTCAAAATAATTAATAAAATGTTTGTGTAATAGGCTACTCTACAAAATTAAACTAGACTTCCAAGCACTGCACAAGATATCTTAAACAATAATCTAAACTTAATCTAAAAACAAACTGCAACAGTTAAAAAAAAAAAATCAAGATGTAAGCTTTCATTTTAATCTGCCATTTTTATTTAAGATCCAAGCCTTGGGTATGAAAGAATTCATGGAAAACCTGATATGAAGAAAAAAAAAAAAGGATTTCTAGACCTGGAAATGTAATGAAATTTAATAAAATCTTTAAAAAAAAAAACATTGATTTTTTTTAATTAATATACATATTTTTGTAGTTATATCAAGCTCTAAAATATTTTATTGGGTAGAAGTTGCTGAGAAATTACTATTTTTGAGTAAAAAAAAATTAATTAAACAATCACAAGTGACTAAAAAGTCATGTAAATTAATTGGTAATAAAAAAGTGAGAATAAAAGAACACTGAGTTATTGAAACTTCTGGAATTGTGGAATATAGCCAAATTCTTTATAATTATGTAATTATTTTGATATACTACCACTCTCTTTGGCTGAAAAAAAAAATTTAAAAGAGAGGAGAATATTAATTATACAATTTTAAAATATTGTCTTTGACAATGGGGGGCTTTGGGCTGAAAAAGGTTGAGAACCACTGCCGTGAAGACCTTCATATCCCCACAAAACTTTTTGAGCATATTTGTTTTTTAATAAATAAATAAAAAACACTTATATACGCAATCCAGAGCTACTGTCCGAGCTGTGCGACTGCACCCTGGAGTAGTTGTACCCTACGAAGAGCGGATTCTGCGGCACAGGATGAAACGTGGATCCGGTGGCGTATGAAGTGTACGGATCGCTGCCGTTGCTTCCTTTAAAGTGTGTGGAAAGCTGACGCGGGTAATATGTGTTCCTGGGTACGTACTGCATCACATTTTGGCCATAATAGTTCGGATTCTGACCGTTCTGACTGTACACTAAAGACCCTGTGGCCATGGCCTGCATACTGTAGGGTGAATGTTGACCACTAGAGGGCGTAATGGCGTAGCTGAACACGGACGGCGAAGGCTGTTGAATGGAAAGACTGTTGCTCTGGACCAAAGGCTGGTGTCTTATAGAGTTAAAGGTCTGGAGGCGGTTTAAAATGGGTTTGTTAGCTGGTGGACGAGCATGAAATGAGCCTGATTTTGGATCAACACGACGACAGAGAAATATAATTCCAGAGGCCAACAGAAAAGCACTAGTTACCCAACCGATATACAGCGCCTCTCCTAGTTCCCTGCGCTGGGCGTCAATCAGTAGAGGGTTGTAGAAGTCTCTAATGATGGTGTGGGCCGTCCAAGAGACCGGGGTGATTACGCAAACGGATGCTAAAATCTGCATCACCCCCGCAGCCATTGCAATGAGGCTTTTGGCCCGCGGTTGATCCCTGAGACACAACGTGCAACGGAGGCCTACGAGAGACACAAGCAGCCCGACTCCAGACAGCGCCAGAGCGCAACACGTCAACCCGCGGGCCGCCTGCAGGTCCGGCGGCAGGAACAGCAGAGAGTCGTAGACTTTGCACTGCATGTGGATGTTGGCCTGTCTGAAGCACGTCATCCACAGACCCTCCCAGCGCGTCTCCATCACGATGATGTTCTCACCGATGAACGCCGTCACTTTCCACATGGGAAGGCCCGTGACAGCCACCGCGCCGATCAGACCGATGATGCCCAGACACAGGGCCATGAGCTCACACTTGCCCTGAACCATCATTGACCTCAGACTTGCACGCTTTTGACTATGTCATCAGTTTTCCTAAAAGCAGAGAAACAGACATATTTGGTTTCGAAATATACATGAGGGGTCTTTGGCACAAGACGCTTCTTCCCTTTAATCTGTCAAGCTTTTAACAGCACCAGACAAATGCTTTTAAATGCAAACAGCATTAAGGGAGTTTTACACTTTTAAGAGCCACTGCCAAAATATCTACTATAATAATAAATAGACTATATAAAAATATTTGGGATTTACAGTACTGTGCAATAGTCACAACATTTGCTCTAAGATATCTTTTGCTTGCTCTGTATCTTTTTGCTTTAGTGTTCCAGTATCAATTTTAGAAACATTCCATTGCATTGCATATATTGTAATGATTTTTAGTAAATTAATGTTTTTATTCAGCATGGATGCATTAAATTGATCAAAAGTTACAGTAAAGACTTTAATCATGTCGCAAAATATTTGTTTTTAAATAAATGCTGTTTCTTTGAAAATGTATCATGATTCCCATACAAATATGAAGCAGCACAACTATTTTCAGCATTGATAATAATCAGAAATGTTTCTTGAGCAGCAAATCAGCATATTAGAATGATTTCTGAAGATCACATGACACTGAAGACTGGAGTAATGATGCTGAATATTCAGCTTTGATCACAGGAATAAATTACATTTTACAATAAATTTAATATAGACAATGGTTATTTTACGATTGCAATAATATTTCACAATATTACCATTGTTAATTGTGATTGGTATGGCTACTTTTGTATAGATAAAGATGCTTTCAGCCTCATGATGGTGTAGTTATTGCCTCTACTAACAGGGTCTCTTTGACCTCTTGACCCAGGGCCGTTCCAGGCATAGGCGAGCTAGGCGGTCGCCTAGGGCGCCACCAGCTGAAGGGGGCGTTAAACAGAATTCACCTTTTCCTTTAACAGGCTCACTTTCATTTGCATAAAATTATGCTCAATTTGGTTCTTAATCAAATGTTTAATTCAGTTGTACTCTACCTAGGGTTTTTTTTTTCTTCTGAAGAACATGTCCTGAATGAACGTCTCCTCAGATGACGGCAAACTACCCTGAACAAACGAATGAATCCACTCACCCTGTTCTGAACAAGGATAATCCTGTTGGGCAGCGATTTAATGTCCAAATCTTGAGGTCTCGAGTCTGTTAGCCAAACACAGGTGTGTTAGATGTAGTAAATGTTGTTCCCAGATTAAATAGGGCAGTGTAGAGAGAGTGTGGTATTATATGCTTCAACAGTTTAAGGATAATGATAAACTTACTCTCTTTGTTATGGGAAAGTGGCATAGCCGTATTCTAATTGGTTGAGGCTGATGAGGGTAAGTGGAGATGCTGATGGTGTGTTTACTGACCAGTGGTCATATATGCTGGCAAGGTCTCTCTCACATAAACAAACACACTCTCAAATGAACAGATGACCTTGACTCACAAAGTTATAAAATTCTCTTCAACACTAGAGGGAGCCGCTGCGCCAATCTGGTTACAGGTAAGTTAGTTCTGTCAGGGATGTTTAACTAGCGCTTTGGAAGCTGAAACGAGTGTCCTTTATCCACCTTATTAGGCAACGAAGAAGTAAGCTATTTTATGTGAAGATTCATTAGGCGCTATAGATAACTAGAAGAATAACAAAGTGCAGTAAACGGTAAAACTTGGCTATTTGTGCTGTAAACCAGTGTGCTTATAATTACGATGATAAATTAAAATCATATGATAAGAAATACCAGTTTACAATATCAAGCCGCATAAATAAATGGAAGCGAATGACACCGGAAGCCACTCGAACAAATATGGCCGCTTCCTCTCTTAAATTAAAAATAAAATGGAAAGTCTGTCACTGAGTAGGCAGCAACCTACAGTTTTGTTAGCTATGTTTGGTTGCTGCTAAAAGCATTATCTGTTTTTACTGTCATTATTGTCATTTATCATGCATACATTTGATCCAAAGCACAAGGTGTAGTTTAGCTTTACCAATGACTTCAGTAATATTCTGGGTCACTTCTGCCTGGTGATGACCCACATATTTTGCATTAGCAACCTGAACTGAGTCCACCACAGTGCATATTACGTAATACCTCTGTTTTAAAACCTAGTGAGCTGTCTTGCTGTTTACTACCCACTCAGGTAGCTAACTTTTAAAAAAGAAGCATCCTCACTGAAACTGAACCACATAAGTGAGGGATTTAAAACACTCAGCAACTTTTTGCTTCAGAGAAATATCAATGAAATAGGACACAATTGTTCTATGCTTAGAATATTGCTAAGCTAATAATGCAAGACCCTACTAATCATAAAAATACAGTGTGCATATACTCTGTATTTGTTTAAAAATTACATTTTTAATTACTCAACTATGTTTTACCAGTATTGTTTGGTATTAAATCAAATGCAAATGCATTTATCATTTTTTCTTCGACTTCAATGAGCTCATCACAGTGCATTCTGGGATTGCATTCTTCATGAAGGACGACAATGAAAGAATCTCATCAGACAAGTTGCTGCCTATATTTATTTTACATTGAAGCCTATGACAGTATTGCTGTTGTTAACTAAAACCATTAAAAATATTTTTTGTTAATTGAAATAAAATATAAATATACTGTAAGATGAAAGATGAAACTTAAATGGATATTAGAAATAATGGAACTATCTGAAATAATATAAGTTTAAGCTGAAGTACTAACGTTACTAAAACTGAAATAAAATAAATGTAAGCTAAATAGAAATAAATATGATAATAAATAAAAAATAATAAAAATGACAAAAGCACATAAGATTACTAAAACAAAACTGAAAATAAAAAATAAAGCTAGTTCAAAATATGAACAAGTACTATAACAGTATAAATAATACTAAAAAACAATTGGCTGCGATTCCTTAAAATGCTTCACAGCAAAGTTCACCAATTTTGCACTTGCTGCATAAGGCAAAGATTTATTTATATAATTATTTTTATTCAATATGCTATGTTTCATCGGATTAAAAAAAATGATGCACTCGGTCTAGTTATAGCAGCTCCCAGTGAAACGGGTCTCACACCTTAGTCTTTCCAAAAGTATGCAGTTAAAACTTTAAAGCTGCTTGTTCAGTTTTCATGTGTGGGTGTGTATTTCTCAGTTTTCACAGCTGAATAGCAGATAGTTCTGATCCGTTTCCTGGTTCTGTTGTAGCACTACTATACTCACAAGCAGCTCTTGTGTGACTCATTCTCTGGGTGTGTCAGAGACGCTCAAGACAATAGTCGTCTTACGTTTCACTGCGGCTTTGTTTATTTGAAGCTGCAGGGCATAAAGATCTTGAACGCACTGAGCTAAACTAAACCACCAAATTCAGCACCTGCCTGTAACTCAGACCCCGTGACTTTTTGAGAAAGCATGTCCTCTGAAGCATAGAGATGAACAGATTTCTTCTGAGAACTATTACTGTGCAAATACACAGCAGAAACCAGAACACAATCTTTTAAAACCACCTGTACATGCAGAAAGATATGAGGAGGAATAGCAAATATCTTATCATTAAGGATATGTTTTACTAGTTTATTGAGTTAAATCATTGTATTGTGCTTTGATATTTACATAAAAAAACATAATATCTGAATATTAAACACTTATTTCCTTGTTTCTATTTTAAACATGCAGCTTTCAGATAATACAAAAATACCTCAAGTAACATACTTTACAACATCCTGAGGTATGATCTGTACTTTACAATGAATCATATAAAACAAAAAAAATTTTTTTTAAACAATTCTTCATCTCAGTCACAGACAGTTCTCTTACTTACATATTTAAAAAATGCCATTGAAACTATATTTAAATTCTGTCAAAAACATTCCCAAGAAATAAAATGAAAAATATTAAATGTAGGCCTAAATTTGTTACATAGTTTTTTTTCAAATTTTCTTTTCGTAACATCTCTCGTTAGAAGTTCATCCTTTCCATCTTTCATTTGCACCAACTTAGACATTTAAAAAGCCAAAGTAGAAATGGTATTCAAAAACATTCCTAAGCATGAAACAGTAAAAAATTAAATGCAGGCCCAAGTTTGTTACGTTTAAAACCGTTTCAATATTTCCAAATAGTATTTTTTATCTTGTGTAAAAAAAAAAGCTTTGGTTAGAAGTCCTTTTCATCTGTCATCTGCTCCTGCATAGATATGAGTAGAAATAACATCTAAATGTAGCCAAAAACATTCCCAAGAATAAAACAAGGGGAAAAAAATGAAATGTACGACTAACTTACATTAAAAAAAAAGTTTTCCAAATTTTTTTTTTTTTTAACTTTTGGTCGTCCTTTTCATCTCTCTCACACACACACAAACGCAAACACACAAGCCTGTAAAACGTCCAGCTGGATTTCAGAGATAAGCCACGGCGCTGCGGGCGGACGGATGTCGGGACGGTTGTATGAACGACTGCTGTCTGGAAGGCTGAATGAACGACTGTTGTCTAGACGGTTGGTATGACTGCTCAATGAACGACGGTGGCCCGGACGGGTGACTGTACACCGAGCGCGGCTGAGGGTGGTAGGCCACGGGTTGCGGCTGATAGGCCACATAGGGCGCGTTCCTGGTGTACATGTACCTCGGATCCGGGCCCTTGTCCAGGGGGCCGCTGCAGCAGGTGAATATGCACCCACCGGCGAATAAGAAGGCGGAAGACACCCAACCGATGTACAACGCTTCCCCGAGTTCCCTGCGCTGGGCGTCGATGAGCAAGGGGTTGTAGAAGTCCTGGATGATGGCGTGTCCGGTCCAGGAGACGGGGATGAGGCAGCAGAGGCAGCCCGCTAGGATCATGCAGCCAGCGATGATCAGAACCATCCGCTTGGCGCGGTCGTTCCCTTGGATGCACGCCGTGCACCTCATCCCGGCAATGGAGATTAGTAAACCCAGCCCGGTCAAAGCCACGGAGCAGCACATGAGCCCCCGAGCGGCCTGGAGGTCCGGAGACAGCGCCAGCAAAGAGTCGTACACCTTACACTGCATCCGAATGTTGGCCTGCCGGAAGCAGTTCATCCACAAGCCCTCGTAGCGGGTCTCCATCACAATGATGTTCTCCCCAATGAACGCCGTCACCCGCCACATTGGCATCCCGGTGCTGGCCGCCGCCCCGATGAGTCCGATCAGGCTCACGCACATTCCCACGATCTCCAGGGCGCCGCTCGCCATGATTCCAGGAGCCTGAAGAGTGAGGACTGGTTTCGACTGTGAGGTTTTGCATCCCGCTGGAATGGGAGCTGATAGGTGTTCACCTGTTCCCAGCCTCCGCCCTCTCGCTCAGGGAAGGGAGGGAACGCAGGGGCTGGTTGCTATGAAATCAAATCCCCCCTGCGAGTGTTTGTGTCTGGTTTTGTGTCACTGGGGGAGGAGGAGGAGGAGCTCGTAGCCGTGTTGATGTTTGCTCAGTAGGCACCGTTTTCTGGCAGAGATCCTGTTAAGTGAGGAAATGCAGCTGAAGGGGTTACTGAACAGCCAGATACAGGCAAACACACAACAGCTCTGGACTGCTGTCAATGTTTAACACCGCTGGTGTTGCGGCTCATTAAATTGCTGTCTGATATGTCCAGAAGAACATATGTGAAGTCAGCTGATGGCTTAATGTTGATGTTTTACCTTTAGTTAAAGGTGAAAAGTTTGTCATTTCTGCACCGCAAACGGAATTTCATTACTTTTAAAATTCTGTTTGATGCTGAGTGGTTTCTAGCATGTTGCTACACGGATGCTAGGGAGTTCTGAGGGAACCACAGAAAGCAACCACATAGCAACATGCTAAGTACCACTCAGAGCATAAGCAACCGTATAGTAACATTCTAAAAAAAACATTTAGAACTCCTTAGCAGCTGCATAGCAACACCCTAGCAACTGGAAAGTAACATTCTAAAAACAAAACATTCAGAACCCCTTTGCAGCTGCATAGCAACACCCTAGCAACCTTTATACAGTCGACCATTATTGTAGTTCCATTTGATGCTGAGTGCTTTTTAGCATGCTACTAAAGGCCCGTTCACACCAAGGACGATAACTATAAAGATAACGATAAAGACAAAGAGAAACGATATCGTTGGAATCACTTTCAAAACGATTTTTCTCCGGCTGATGAACGATAAAAAAAATTGACAGCCAATCAGAATCCATCCTGCTGCAACGAGCTCGAGAATTTAAAGTGGCAGACGAGCATGCGCTTATAATAAACAAACGATATCGTTCGCTGGTGTGGACGCTAATATCGTTATCTTTATAGTTATCGTTCTTGGTGTGAACGGGGCTTAAGTGGTTGGTAGGGTGTTACTATGCGGTTACTAGGGTGTTGCTATGCAGCTACTAAGAGGTTCTGAGTAGTTTTTAGAATGTTGCTGTGCAGCTGCAAAAGGGGTTCTAAATGTTTTTTTTTTAGATTGTTACTATGAGGTTGCTAAGGTGTTGCTATGCAGCTGCTTAGGAGTTTTGAGAGCTTTATAGAATATTGCTATGTGGTTACTAGGGTGTTGCTATGCAGCTACTTAGGGGTTCTGAGTAGTTTTTAGAATGTTGCTGTGCAGCTGCAAAGGGGTTCTAACATTTTTTTTTAGAACGTTACTATGAGGTTGCTATGCAACTGCTTAGGGGTTTTGAGTGCTTTATAGAATGTTACTATGTGGTTACTAGGGTGTTGCTATGCAGCTGCTAAGGGGTTCTGAGTAGTTTTTAGAATGTTGCTATGCAGCTGCAAAGGGGTTTAAATTTTTTTTTGAATGTTACTATGTGGTTGCTAAGGTGTTGCTATGCAGCTGCAAAGGGGTTCTACTTTTTTTAATGTTACTGTGCGGTTGTTAGGGTGTTGCTATGCAGCTGCTAAGGGGTTCTGAGCGGTTTTTAGCATGCTCCTATGAGGTTTCCAGTGTCTTAACAGCTACATAGTAACTGCTCAAACCACCTTAGCAGCTGCATAGCAACATCTTAGCAACATTTGTGTATTTTTGCAATTCCATTTAATGCTGAGTGTTTTTAGAATGTTGCTATGCAGAACACCCTAGCAATAACATAACAACATGATAAAAACCACTCAGAACATCTAGCAACAATCTAGCAAACTTTGCACTATTAAGCATTTTCTTCAGACAGTATACAAAATCAAGTTTCGGTTAGGTTTTCTATAAGATGGCTGACAGTAACTGTGATATTTTATTCATTTTCATCAGCGAGCGCAGTTAAGAATTTGGATCATAACATTGTTTTGCTGCGTTGACTTTTTCCAGTTACATCTTAAATCACATACACGTCTCTTTTGGTCACACAAACACACAGTCAGTGTCGCTCATGTCTGCTGGTGAATTTGCATTAGGGGTGTGATGCTTAGAGCTTATGGAGCAACAGAAGAGAAACATACACTGGAAAACCACCTCGACTGGTTCGACCGGTTCCGCCAACACTGGGCTAAGAAAAACAACAAAATAATGTCATCAGGTCATACAGACCAGGAACTAGTACATCCACAGTTCTTTTCACATATTTATTTAATACAATTACAATCAAACCAATGCTTTAAAAATGGACAGAGTGGAAAACAAACAATCATATGACAGAGTCAACATTAAGTCATGGATACACAGTTAAATGCTGTGTGGAAATATCCCACATGTTGGTGTTCTTAATTTTAGCACATATTGCATATTATTTCTGTGCAAATTACAAACTTTTAGAAAAGAAGGAAATGCATTCAAATCAAGTATGTAAAAACTAATATTCACATATACAGTCACATTTAATCAAATGAGGCTCCATCCGTCCTGCTTTCTTCTGAATCCTAATGCAGATTGTTCCCAACTCAACTTCTTTTTTGGAGTCTCTATAGAAGATGTTGTGTGTCTCAGTATCTTGAAGGGTTATAAACTGTCGGGACAGGAGAATAGGCCGGTTGATAGTTATACCCGGGCTGGTATCCGTATGCAGGCTGGTATCCATATCCGGACCTGTAGGAGTAGTTATACGGAGCCGATCCGGCCCGATAAAGAACAGCAGCCATGTTCTCTTTATCCTGGGTCCGTGGTGCATGTCGACAGAGCAGAATCACCCCGGCACAGAAAAGCAAAGCTGAAGTGACCCATCCGATGTACAAAGCCTCTCCAAGCTCTCTACGTTGGGCGTCGATTAACAACGGGTTGTAGAAGTCCTGGATGATCACATGAGCCGTCCAAGACACGGGAATGATGGTGGTCAAGCAGCCAGCCAAAAACAAACACCCTCCGCTCACCAAAACAATGTGCTTGGTTTTGGGACGGGAGTCTACCAGACGGGTGCAGCGCATGCCTACGGCCGACAAGATGCAGGCGAAGGTGGTCAAAGCGACGGAGGAGCACATGAGACCCCTGGCGGCCTGGAGGTCGGCCGGGAGAAACAGCAGAGAATCGTAGACTTTGCATTGCATACGGATGTTGGCTTGCCGGTAGCAGTTCATCCACAATCCCTCCCAACGCGTCTCCATCACGATGATGTTCTCCTCGATGAACGCGGTGACCTTCCACATCGGGAGGCCTGTGACGGAGGCGACGCCGATCAGTCCGAAGAAGCCGATGATCAGCGCAACCACCTCGCAGCAGATAGATTCCTGTCTCTTTCTCTTCTCGTGCTTCACCTGCTCATCGTACACCTCTTTCGCCGACTTCTCATCCGGATATCCTGTGTACACACTGTCGCCGTAGGTTTTGTCCGCGTAGGGTTTGGCCATGTAAGACCCGGCCGTGTAAGACATGATGTTCGAGTGCCAGGACAAAACGACGAAGGATCAGACACAGATGTAACGCTGCTCTCCTTCACTGCGGTGTTTCTCAACTGAGACCGGAAGATCCAGATGACAAGTATTTACAGGCAAGAAAAATGTTAATGATGTTATGTGTACAGACTGGTTGGTTCATCTGCTCCTGGAGAATCTGATAAACAGCTTGAAGGAAACTGGTGATACTTGAAATATTTAAACAAACGTGCTCACGGCTGCCATTTTCGAATTCTACCGTTAGGTGGCTTCTAAAGATGAGTATTTTCTTCAGAACAAAATATAAGCACAAAATAGCTTGTGGGAATGTTTAATTAAATTGTAATTAAAGATAGCTTTTAAGGTAACAAACAAATATAAAAGTTAGTTAAAAATATGACTTTGTGAAATTACATAACATGCTTATGTACAAATGTATTACTCACATCATCACATTAAGTGTAATAATAATAATAATAATAAATATACAAAATAAACATATTAAATAAATACTTACCAACTTACCCAATCAAACTAAAAAGTATCGAACACTGCAAAAGACAAAAAAGTTGTTTATTTTATAACATGCATATATACAATTTTATAGCTCGTTATAAAAATACACTACTACTAATATTTAATATAAAATAATAATTATTATTAATTATAATTATATCATAATCATTGTGATTGCTTTTATTAACTATACACACACACAAATATACTGTATGTTAAATGAATATAGCTAAGGAGACTCTAATCGAGTTCTGAGTAATGTTTCATTTAAGTTTCAGCTTTGTCTCATGTTTTTTTCCCTAAAATTCCTGGGGAAAAACAAACAAATCAAACCATAGGTCACATATAAAATGAATGTGTTTAGAAGCTCAGATCATTTAATGGTTCATCTCTTGGAAGAATTTAAAGGAAAATGTTTGGGTTTATATTAAGATCTCTGACATTGATTGCATGCTTCAATATCTTGGCAAATCCAAGCACAGTTTGAGCTATTGTATCTTCTGAAACTCTGAGAGATCTTAAAAGAAATCTGAGAAGCAGAAGACTAAAGCAAAAATATATTTGCTTTCCACTGGGTTTCACTGCTATCTAACAGAAACAATCAAGATATTAAACATACATCATATTTGTGATTTTTTCTTTTCTATTGTTACTCTCAAAAGAAACTTTTTTTTTATTTTGTGAAGACGTTCCTGAACTTGAATTCCCCATGAAGTCCCTGATCTACTGCATTTTCCTTCAGCTGCTGTTTGTCAGTGAGCGGTCAGGTGAGTTACAGGTATCACAGCGTTTCCAGGTAAGATACTGAACTAGAACCTGACATATGATGGAGGTGGAACCTGAGAGGCTTTAGTGTTAAAACACACACACACGCACGCACGCACGCACACACGCACACTCACTCACACGCACGCGCACGCTCTCTCTCACACCACACACAGTCTCTATATGTAGATATATCATCCATCTAACAGCAGTCCATCGTCAGTGTGGTTTACATTTAGTTTCACTTACAGTAAATGGCTTGTTTTGAATGTGTCAGATGCAAATCAGCAAATACAGACAGCATGTCAGTATTTTTCGGCATGTTTTCTCGTCCTGTATGCTTTGTGTATACAGTCGGCTGGAGTGAATATGACTGATGCAATGTTTTTAAAATAAAAGGTTTATATAAAAGGTATAATTATACATAATGGACTATTTGATTATAAAAGGGAAAACTACTTTTGAACTTTTTTTATAATTTATAACTTTTTTTGCACAAATAATGCATTTTTTATAGATTACCCTGACAGCTTTTTTACTCTCATTCACAATTTCATAATTCAGACATGTATAGAAATAGCTGGGTAAATCATATGTTAGCAGATGCACAAGTTAATGTTACCATTTTCCTACAAACACAGAGCTACAATAAATCAGTTCCCATAATATTTAAAAGTACAATATTTATTTATAAATATAAGTAATAAAATACTTTATG